AGTTCTGGTATAGAATGTTTGCCAAAGAGCATCTTCGTGGTTGTTCAAGCAAAATCTTGTGGGACATGGGGCTGAGAACTCAGTTGATGAATATGCAAAATGCATCACTTTGCACAAAAGTGGCTAACCTCACAAACACAGTGTATTTATGTTGTGCTTAACGTGCACGCTTCACATGGTTCCTATGCACTGTTCTTTAATTTATCAAGTCTTTTCAATCACCCATACCTTGGCCACCAGGTACTTCAATAATGACGTGCAGTCCTTCATCCCTTCATGATGAGGTCAGTCTGATTCACGTGGGGATGGATGGAAAATTATTAACTTTGCTGGAGGGTTTTTTTCCTTTCATATCTTACGTAGCGTGTGTCTTGAACTACTTGCAATAAATCTCTTCATAACTCCAAATGTTAGAGTTGTTTAGGACATTTTACCAGTACCTCCTAATTTCTGTTGTTTGCATCATGTCCTCTATAGGTTTTGAGATTATGTTGGCACTCTGATATTTCTCTTAATACTAGACACAGCCATACAGAAAGAAGATGGGTTGTTTGCTCTTCATGGCAATATAAAGTGTTGTAAGGCACCTGTGTCAGTGGCTTCCTACTAACTGAGACCCTACTGTTTTAAACATCCGGGTTTAGATACCTCTGTATAAATAGAAAGACCAGTAGGAAACAGTTCTGCCCTAGCCCTGACATGCCTAGCCTTAAACAGCAGCAGGGTTTTAGTAGTTTTGTAATAGAAAAATTTACTACAGCCATTGATGAGACAAACTAAAATGATGAAATAAAGAGGCATATAAAATTGAAAAAAATGGAAAAGCCTGTGGAAATCGTGCATGTTTAGTCCAGAGAAGTACAGTCTGATTATAAACTTACCTGGCCTTCCAGATGTAAAACAGTATTACTGCTCAACAGAAGACAGTTGTTCTCACTGATCAGGAAACCAAAAGCAGGTGTAAAGATCAGTTAAATATTAAGCAATGTTATATATTTAAGTAAATATATTATGATTCATAACACACATATATATAAATAAATAAAGTATAACCAGGATTGTACAGCTGCAGCAGACAGCTTCAATAAACTCCCCAAGAGTTACTGGCAGCAGATACATTTAAATCAGGATGTAGAAACCTTTTTTGGATAACAGGGCCTGAATAGGTGCAGTGGGCCAGACTTAAATCTAAGTTATACTTCTGTGCACAGGGAATAACAACAGTTAATAATGCCATTCTTCTATATCCAGCTGCATGTGTTGCTTTTCATGGTGCAGGATAACTGTGTCACTATTTAGGGCTTGCTTCCTCTCCTGTGCTTGTTTCTGCTCCTTTATTTGTCAGGTTTTTGGTGACTCCAACACTGGAGTCCTTTCTAAGACTTCTGAGACCTACTGTGGCCTAAATAACATCCACATCACTGAACTTTGGACTTAAAAAAAGCGGGGTTTGGGGGGTTTTGGGGGGTTTTGTTGGTGTTTTTTTTAACTTACCCCAGGGAAATAAATCCGCTCTAACCATAATTCCTCTAGAGAGGGTGGTTTGGTTAAGCTCCCCCTTGTCCTCTTTGGTGGCATAAGGGGTCTAGTCCTAGCTGCAGGATGCTTGAACCTAGGCTGGGAGAGATCCCTTGGTGGCTGGGCATCATGAAATATGAGAGTTTGTACCATTCAGGGTGAAGGGGGACTGGAAGCCAGGACTCTAATTCCCCATGTCTGTGATTCAGCTGCCATTGCTATGTTGAAAGACCGCCATGTACACAGAGCTGAAAGGTCTGGGAGCTGAGATTTAGTGTTTGCTGAGGGCTAGCTCTGCATACAGCTCTTTGGATAATCCAACCTTCAGTGTAACCTTTCTCACCCCTTATGTCAGGCACCTGGCTCTGGGTTTTCAATACCATACCATGCACTGAACTGTGCTTTCCTTGTGCCTAAGTGCTAACATCATTTTTAAGGACCAAATGCTGCACCTTTTCATTAAGCACATGTTTCTTAAAGGAGGCTTTTGTTTACTTGTTTGTCTTGGTGTGAAACATGATTGAATGAAGGTGGGCTGTATTCATTTCTTTGACCCTGAAGTAATGCCAGTAACAAAACAGAGGAAATGCTTTTTAATTATTTTCTCCATGTACATTGGAAAGAACTGGGACCGAACAACCAGTATTTCAAGTTAAGTACAGATTGATTCTTGGAGCCTAATTGGAGAGATTTATTGACAGTGCAGCATTTGGCTAGTTATAATAGACTCCTATTCATTATACAGTTGATAATTCAACAAGTAGCTGATTCTAATTTTCCGTGTTCGTTATACCATTAAGGCTGACTTTATTAGCCTACTCAGGGATGCTTAAAAACAATTAACCTTAATTTTTTAAAGTGGAATGTGAGACTTTAGCTATTAAAATCCAATTCTACTTTTACTGCTTCAGGGCATTAGATACATGGTTCCAGAATTCTGGCATCTTATTAATGCAGGATAGCACATTACTTGAAGAAACTCAAGGTTTGATTTTTACTTCTATGCACCTGTAGCTTTTCTTATACAGGTAACCTCATCTATGAATGAGATTCCCTCCTTTTAATTCGTTTTGGGATCAGGCTGTAAATTCTTGTTGTGGTGAAGAAGCATGGTGTAGGCCAGTGTTTAATTAAAACATCACAAACTCCCTGCTGATCTCTGCCTGCAGAGAGAAGATTCAGTTTAGAACATTGCCATGAGAAAATTATAGGTGGCTTTTCAGACAGAACCTGCTTTCTAGGGTTCCAAAGCTAGGCATGTGTTTCTGCAAAGGAGAGTTTAGGAAAGGTTTCAAAGCAGACCAAAGTTAAAGAGTTTCCTGATGGTTCAGCTTTGTAGCACTAAGCCTGCTGGGTGTTCTGCAAGGATCCATTGTACCTAGCTGCCCTCCAAAAGCAGAGCCGCAGCTTTGCATGCATTACACCAGCTGTGTTTTCAGTAGGGCTTTACAAATTGCTTAATCCAAGTTAGGCCCTTTCTGGAAGCTCTTTAATCCTTCTAACATTTGCATAATGATCTCAATACTGTAATTCTTGTGTGACAGTGTGTTGAAGCTCTTTTTGACATACATTAATGATAGCACAAGAATAATGGAATGCCAAATGACTTCATTGTCTTGCAGGACTGAGAATGCCATAAATTGCAATGTTTGAAAAAGTGTGGGGCTGTGCTCACTCCTGGTGTAATCACAGTGGCATCTCTAGAGCTAGGTGAGGCAGGCACTGACTTCGTCGTGTTTAAATATTAACTCATATTTGGGAATCTAAATGAGGGGGTAGAGTCTATTAAAGATCTACAATTAAAAAATCGGCACCTTTCACAGGGGTATTCTATCAGAATAATGCTTTTTTCCCCTAAGACTTTGATTAAAGCATGCTAATCTCCCATGAAAATTCTAAACTAATCAGCTGAAATAAAAAATAGATGAGGATTGCATGAATACTTTATGTGAGCAGTAAGGGAGGAAGTCTCTAGTTTTGAGGCTCTGTGTTAAAATTTGCAGGACTACACAGCAGGTAATACCAGGCTGAGTTCCCATTTCCGTCCTCCCGCAGATGTTACAATAAGGCAGCACAGACATGAGCTAAAAGGCAGTCCCAAGCAGCCATGCAAAACCAGCTGTGAGATGATAAAACTGAGGGATGGTCTGGCAGGTATGCTCACTGAAAACAAGACTTCTATAGGAGTTCAGAAAACAATTCATTTCCATGGGAAAATCGACTAAGAAACTGATTCACAGGCTGATAGTCATGTGTGTTACACGCATGATTTTGTATTTTAAAGAAAATACTATTTTTTAGCAACTGCCTGTCAATGCAGCCACTATTATCTGATGTCTTGCTTATTTCCCTGCTTAGTGTGTAATACCTGGAAGTTTGGATGTGATTTTTGCTCTCAATAGAAAACAGAAAAATGTGATATTTCTCCCTACAAACCCTCTGTGGGATTTCTCATTTCTCAGTTAGGCTTTCTTAACCTGGCATCGAGTCATAAGAATGTCATGTGGGGGTCTACATGAAATCTGGAGAGGGGCTTTTGACAAGGGCCTGTAGGGACAGGACAAGGGGGAATGGCTTTAACCTGACAGAGGGGAGATTGAGATGAGACATTAGGAAGAAATTCTTCCCTGTGAGGGTGCTGAGGCACTGGCACAGGGTGCCCAGAGAAGCTGTGGCTGCTCCATCCCTGGCAGTGTTCAAGGCCAGGTTGGACAGCGCTTGGAGCAACCTGGTCTAGTGAAAGGTGTCCCTGCCCATGGCAGGGGTTGGAACTGGGTGGGCTTTAAGGTCCTTTCCAACCCAAACTATTCTCTGATTCTATGTGTCTTCATGAGCAGGTCATACCAATGTATGCAGTTGTTTGTGGTCACTACCTATAAATAATTGAATGTGTAGGAGTAGTAGAAACCCTACCTTTTATTTGCTTAGTGCCATCAGAAGTTTTGTCGTCTTCTTTGCTTATTGTGGTAAAAGGAGATGAGTCCAGTTCAACAAAAAGGTTTATATGATATTTTAAATGATCTGTGCAGCAGGTTAAGGCTTATCTTGCATGAGCATGCATGTACTGTCTTACAGCGATGTGTAAGAAGCTCATCCCAGTCTGGCTCTGCCAGGCTGCTTCATCCTGCGCTTGAGCAGCTCCCAAAAGAGAGGTCAAAATGAGAAAGAGGTTGTCCCTCCCCAGCACACAGCTAAGTTGCGGTGAATGGATCTGGATTTCTTGCCGAAGCAAACATGGAAATTGCAACTACTGATGAATGCTTTTTCCCTGGAGGAACTCCATAGGCAGCCCAACTCTGTGTTGTAATTTTGGTCTAGGCTGGCAGTTGGAGTCTGACAAAACCTTTGAACTTCACAGCTGTATTTAGATGCCAAAGCCTTTAGCCTGGAGACTTGTCCTTGTACCTCTTCTCTGTTGACATGGCCTCCATGTAGTCCTGTGTTGTGAATGGTGAATAACCACCCCATTTTCTTTATTTCAGGAGATTTGTCCTCACCAAGATGAGAGTCATTCCAAAAGGAGCTTTCAGAGGACTCACTGACCTCGAGAAAATGTATGTATCATGTCAGTATTTAGTGGGAGAAACCTGTTTTACTTCAAACAGCAGTTTCTGGTTGTAGCTCCTTTTACAGCCGGTGAGCAAGCCCCTCTCTCTGAGCTTCAGCTGGTTTCCTTGGTCAAAGGGTTTTGTTCAGCATGGAGTGTCATTGCATTTAGTAAATGTAGTGCCATAGCAGGAGATCATGAGAAACTGATTATTTGACAATTTTGGAATGAAACAGTGGAAAGATTATGGAGGAAAGAGCTCCTGTTCATAACAGGCCAGCCAATTCTGTTTTCACTAAGGAATGAATAGGATTGGTTTGTGCATGATCAGAAGCAACTGGTAGGATGTGAGAGAAGTTTCTTACAGGTGATAGATCCAAAAATCTTAGCACACAAAGGGTGTAAGCACCTAATTTCTGTGAATTTTAACAATAAGCCTAACAATTATGAGCACTTTCAATGAACGGATGTATCATACCTTCATTAGTGTATTATTGTGGATGTAGAGCAGCCCTCCAACACTAGGAAAAACAAATCCCAAATAATATATTCCCTACTATTCTTTAGCCACAGAAAATCTATGGGTTAAGTGGTGCTAGCACCAGAAATTGTAAATGACAGCATCCAACCTGAACCATTCCAGAGCATGTATGATTTTTCTGAATTATTTCATATATGAGCAAATCACAATATTTTGTTTAGAAACACATCCAGCGCTTGCACCCTGACAGGAGAGGGTCAGTCTGTTCACTCGTGAGGTGTCTGAGTGGCAGTGGGGAAATATATTTGAAAGTCAGTGCCTTTTTCAGTGCTGTGTGTAATGGCAAAACTAAAAAGGATTAGATTGCTGATGTTTCTCTGCATCATTTCTATCCATTTCCCTCATAATCTTGCATAAGTAAGGGATTTAGCTAGAAGGAGAACACACCAGAAGGTATGGCAAGGAAATAGATAGGATTTTGAACCTAGAAAAGGGTGGGGATGGAGGGATGAAGACCAAAGAGTGAGCATAAAAGGATTCAGGAGCTGCTGATCAGTAGCAAGCAGTAAAGCTCACGTGGCATCTGGTCTTTTCTGTAGTGTGACATCCATTTCAGAGCATCGCTGTAGGTTCAAGAGTCATGTGTTGGCATGTGGTACACACTAAAAAGCCTCCAGTTGCTGCATCCTACTCATAGATCCAGACCCTCATAAGTCCATCAAGCTGTAAATGGGCATTTTTCTTGACAAAAGAAAAAGAAAGTTGTCTTTTTTGTGGCTAAGGGTTATCAGGACTAAGACTGGCTCTGTTTCGACAGTTTTGTTGGCACTTGTTTCTCCCCAGTCCTGCAGGGTTCCTTTTAGCTTAGTCTTTATGGAAAATCATTGAGCTCTCTGGACTAGGAAGTGGGTTGCAAAGTGCATTGTTAACTGCTTCTGTTATCTTTAATTACTGAGAAAGCATATGTCACATATGTATGAAGGTAGTGATCGCATTGAATATGATGTCTCGAAGTAGGGATTTATTGTCAACCACAAAAATTATATATGAAAATGAGCTCAATTTGAAAATATATCTATGGACTAGTAGTACTTGGAGGAGAAATGGGGACAGGCAATTTATAGCAAAACATCCTTGAAAATAAAAGTGCGATAAATATGTAAATGCAACCAATCACCATCCACAAAGATGCAGTATTTGCAGATGATATGGCAAACAGATAAAATGTGAAATAGCTCGCAAGTCCTAAACCTAACCCATAAAACATTCATCACAAATATTCATGATACTGTAGGGACAAAAAAAGTGTGTAATCAAATAATAGATTTGCATATAAAACCACGGCCTTTGTATGAAAGCCTTCTTACTCTTGCAAGATCATGCACAGAAAGGAAGATTAAAGCAAACTGTAGTCTATTTAAGGAAAACAGCTATTAATAATGTGATACCTCCATATGGTAAAATGTGGATAGCCTGATGTATACAAATGAGATACCTCAGTGTATTATATATATGTGCTTATCTAGAACTAGACTAAAAATGAGGAGAGTGACAATATCTTCAGTAACAATATGTTACTGAAGAAAAATAGTATCTTATACAGTCCAGCATATCTGTACACATGATTTTTATCATTACTGGATCATTTCTAACTGTTTCTGAGAATAGGATAGGTTTTTAAAGCTCAGAAGTTGCAAGGCAGGGGTGGTCTTTGCAGTCATCCGCTGGGGATAAGCTGGTTGAGTACAATTTGAATGAGAGATGAGTCCTCCATGAGAATCTTATCTCTGATGTATTTATGTTCAAAGTGAGTGAAGGCTTTTGAATACAGTGACTGAAAAATTCTGGGTTTCAAAGAAAAATATTTCAGTAACAATTTTTAGTGTTCCTGCTTTCTGTACGCGTTCCAAAACACCTGCACAGCTGAGAGCTTTGAACATGTCAAATACTTCCAGATACTTCCAGTCAGGCTCAGGTCTCAATAGCCAGGCAAGATCTTGTTTGTTTTCCATTTGGACTGTCCAAGGACTTTCTAGAATGGACACTAGTGACCATAAATAGTGTGACGTGGAAAGGTCGACGCGGAGCACTTCACCTGCGCTCCCTTCTGAAGCTCCGGTTTTAGTTACCAAGACAAAATGCTTTGGTTTTCATCTGCTTTTTTTGGGTAGTGTCAACATTTTTGCTGGGATACTTTCGCCATTTTGAAGTTTTTTTGAAAGAACAGGAGCCCATTTGAACCATATCTAAATTTTCATTGTCTTCTCACCCATCTGAATTCCTTCAGTTAGGGAAAAACCATGAAATGGCCATTCTGCAAGCTGTCATCTAGAGGAACAACTTTCCCCAAGTGTGTTCTGGGAGGAAGATCTTTTCTGCTTAGATAGAATGTTTGAAGCTATGAAATAAACTGACAGGCTCTAATTATCTGAGCTGCCTCTAACTAAAGGTGCAACTTGGATTTTCATCCAGAAAACTACTTCGGAAACCCACAGATCTGAGGAACAGCCTTAACCAGCTTGGTGCTGGCAGCTCCCCAACTTCTGCACGGCTCTGGCTTTGTGTTAATTTAGCAAATAGGTGTTCAGGGAAGCAGATTAGTTATTCTCGCTACATGTTTAGTCTACTCCTAAGTCCTAGCCAACTGGAACGTGGCAGCTCATCTGGACTCCTGCTTAACCAGCCTGTTTACACTCCAAGAACTAATTAACCCTCCAGTAACTAAATTAAAAAGCAGCCCCATGCAGGCACATGCCTGGCAAAATCAATTCAACATGCTCTGCAGCTGCTGGCATCTTCAACCTGCCCTGGAAGTGCTTGATTTGGAGGAGAGACAGTATAGAGCACTGTTAACTTTCCCTTCTTCTCTTGCTTACTTTCCTTCTATTACTGTAAGATAGCGAAGTAGATTTTGAATGTTGGTCTAGCAAGGCCTGGTTCAGGGATTGTATTTACAGGAAGTCTGGACTTACTGCCTTATCCTGTGCAAGCCAAAGGGGCTCAATCCCCTTGAAAATTCATCATCTGTTGTTTATTCTTTTGAGAGGTTTAAGCTAAAGCATAATGCTTTGTTTTATCACTCTTTTTCAAACCCAACCTGTGTGCAGCCCAAGGCAATTCAGCCACGGGTGAAGCACTTCTCAAACTAGATGTCAGAGAACAAATGGCCCCGTTTTGTATGTTGGAGCAATAGGAAAAGGGCATTTCTTTAGCAGATTTTGGCAAAGACAGATTTTGTGAACCTGAACCATGCTGTGGTTAACAGAGCTTGATGAGATAGATCCTTGATGAGCTCTGAAAACGCTGGAGAGCTAAAGCTTCTAGGGTGGAAGGAAGCTGCCAGAGTTGACACTCCTGGAAATTGGAGTCTTCTGTCTGTGGAAGACAGCGGGGATATATGCACCAGCTATCTACAGCTTCCTCATGAATTTGTAGAGAAAATACCTCTGAATCAGCCATTTATTTAATCACTCAGTGCATTCAGGCTTTTGTGGGTTTCTGCTAAGACTGTTGATCCAGTGATGCTTTATATGAACAAATGCTGCTGGTCTGAAACGTAGACACATGAGCACCAGCTTATTTCATATACAGCAACCAACCTGATGCGATGCTAAAATTTCTCCTGTTTGCCCCATGCAGGCTAAAAGATAGGTCCCACTTTCCTTTGACTTAATTAGATCAGATTGAGATACCTTTTATGTTTTATCTGTACTGAAGCCAGGTACTTGAGGACAGCGGAGAGCACTCAACAGGCTGAGTTCTGAGGCACATGTGAAAGTACATTGCTGAATCAAGGTGTATCTCTCTTCCTGCGAGTGGGGAAGGAGCAAAGTTCTTGGCTTGATAGGTAAAAGTCTCATCAGGAAAATCTGGCATAGTGTGAAGTCTTCACTTTATTTAGCAAGTTTTAATGACCCAGTGAATTAGTGGATTCACTGTCCAGACCTTCTTTAGTAGTAGCCATTAGAGCTTTCTGGGCTAGCAAATAGCTAAGGGGATGTTCATCATCCCATGTGCTCCTGATATCAGTTTCATTCAGCCCCAGCATCTGATGCTGTCACACTTGGCAGCATACAGGCCAAAAAGATGGGAATGAAGAGGCAGAAGCAGAAATCACATGATCATTTAAGGATGAGCAGTCTGTGTCTCCTGCTACCAAGAAAGCTGGTCAGTACTTTGCAGCTTCTTCATTTTGTCTTGCCCAGTGTATTGTGTGCTGCCTCATTCGGTATGCAAAAGGTTGTGATTAAATGAGATCATTAAACCTATTATGAGAAAAGGGTTAGGATTCTGTGTAACCAAGACATTTGGAAATCGGTTCTAGGCAGGAGTTTCTATCTTCTGCATCATCTGGGTAAGTCTGCTATTTGTTTGGCAGGTTTTTGTAAGCAGCAAAAAAAGGAGGATCTTCTGTGATGTGTAAGTTAAATAGTGCATGTTTACAGAAATATTTATTTACATACCTAAGGTGATAGGGGGACACAGTGCATTCTGCATACCAAAACCTACACTGAATCAGGTAACAA